GTAGAATTTTAAAATCACAATTAAATCTTGACCTCATGTGTTTTTTCAGGGGGAGGGAGTTCTGTTTTTTTTAAGAAAATCTCTACTTACTCTACATCTACTAAATCACCATTTTTAAGTTATGGCAGTCCTGCCTGTAGCTCACTTGTACTGGCAGCTGGACTCAAGCATCAAAACGATCCTTCTTGGCTTTTGGACCTATGACCTAAAAATATTTTGTCTCTTGATCTGGTGATAATAAAAATACCTGGGAGTAGGACAGGGTGAAGAGAGGTATCTCAGTGAGAGATATACTCTTTCAAAGGGTAAATCAGGGAAAGAAATGTCAGAACATCTGTTATCCAGAGGCTCTTAACTGAATATTGATTTTCATCTGAAAACCAAATTCTGCCTTTAGATTATGTATGCACAACTGACTTCATGTGGCCTTTGGGCTGGAATAAGGAAGGTTTTTGTGTTACAGTGGTGGCTAGAAGGTTCGTGGCCCTACTGTGTGACATACGCAGGTTCAGCCTAAAATGTAATGGTTGACCTGCAGGGCCTAGCGTCTACAAACTTCAGCCAAGCAGTAGGAACTGAGCACAGATCTCCTGAATGGCAACCCCGTAGCCTACCAACTAGTTCAACAGTGTCCCAGTTTGATTTCTACTCCTTATCTTCATGGCAGCACAAAACCCACCACTAAGTCAAGAGGCTTTAATCATCACATTGTCTTCAATGCCAGACATAACTGCAAAATACTGTGATGATGTACTGCATGTGATGCACATAACTGAGAAAATACTTGAGTGAATAGTAACTGGTGTTAGCCATGCATGGGCAGAATATTAATCTTGGCACCTGTGACAATGGCATAGTTTTCTTGCCATAGTGGTAACAACAATGTACTGATTCACCAGTTTTAGGCTACTGGTACATCAGAGTCTGACCCTGGAAAGCAGTTAAAGACTATTTGTGAACTGGATATACAGAGAATGAAAGATCAGGTCTAAGCTTTAAATGATTTTCAGTTTCCTCCTGACAGTAGAAGGTAAGTGCAACAGTAGGGATGCTAAGCAACTTTTTAAAAAGGCTAAAACCACTGGCTGGAAACACCTAGCAAAAAAGTCAGTGAGATTTTTGCTCTTAAATTAGTCCAACTCTTTTGATGATTTTATCCAATTAGCTTGGCTTTTTTAACCTACCATGCACCAGTGGCCTGCAATACCGATGGAGCAAAGTAATTATTCAACAGAACAACTATTTAACTGCTGAATATGAATATTAACAGCAGAATAATAGTAGCTAAACAAATAAAGTAGTATTCTAAATCCCAGTAGCTTCTCCAAAAACACATCAGCTAGGAACCTGGACCAGTTTAACCTGGTAATTTCTTCAATTTGTATACTTCTTTAAGTAGTCCCTGATCATTAACATTTTTACTTATAAAGTTTGTGAAGTTGCGAAATAGAAATGACTCACTCCAAACAAAAAATACTCATAATAATACTGTTGCAGCAGTTAAAGAAACTGTTGTTTTTGTAGCAGTCAGGAACCCAAGATATATTTGAAAGGTACACCGAGGTCAGGCCACTTGGGCTTACTGAAGTACTTTTTACCATACTCTCCAGAGCAGTAAGATCAGCATAAAAATGGGCAGAACAAACCTTCCATAGGAACAGAAAACAAACCAGTGCTTGTGCTTTCCATGTAAGTTCTGCCTTTAGACACCCCAAACTCTCTCTTTTTCAGGCATTGGTAGTTTTGTTGTCCTTTTATTGTGGGTAATTTACATCTCTGAAGATATGTGCTGGATGTACTCAAACTAATAAATAATAGTGGCACCATATATGTTAATTTACATCAGATGTCTCCCTAGAACACCTCCCTTTTATTGAACTATGTTTTGATAAGGCATATCAGCAATTTCTTCTTCTTAAAGCCTTAATTAAGATCATTTGTTAATCTTTGTCCTGTTACTTTTACTCTGTTTAGTTTTACACTATACAGCATAGTTCTTCTGACATAATCAGCTAGCTTCCATGATGGAATAATGTATCAAGGACACCAGCTCAAGGCATGCAGGGTGCCTTTGCCACTGAGGACTGCCTGAATTCCACAGAGAAACGTGAACAGACAGGGTGTTCTCCACTGAAGATAGCAACGTAGCAAATAGCAATGCAGTGTTTTCATTTTGAGGTAAAAGGTAGCAATCTGTTATTAGGATCAGAGTTATTTAAAGGCTGCTTTCAAATTAGCTTTGCAGTCACAAATGTGTAAATATTTAATTCTTTTCTAAGCGAACATGAACCAGTTCCTGGAGTGAAAACAGAACATGTCTGAATTGAATGTACTTCTGTATAAAAATGATGGTTTCTTTCACAGGAAAAACATATCAAAAGTAATGTATCCGATGGAACTCCAGCCTTGACAGATGTAGATAAATAAAAGTTGAAATGCAGTGCTAGCGTTTGTCACTGGAAACATAATGCAGAATTTAGGCCAAGATGTATTATAAATTTAGCACAGCTTTAAATACAATACTCAAACTTGAGAAATTGTTCCAACCAAGTGTAACACTTCTTCCTTTAGGGTCTTCCCAGTTTGCAACGCTGACTAATTTCAGCCACTGAACTCCAGCTATGAATGGTGAGATGAAGGAATTAGGGCCAAGCGCGTACCTCACATTGTCACTCTGGTATAGATACCAGAAAACTGCACGCTACATTCTGGGGCCACCATCTGAACATTTTGCTGAGATGTAGTCTTGTAGAAAATCAGAATGCATAGGGCCTATCCGTTACTCCTTTGGTAAAAAATGAAGTCAACGTGGCTATTTTGCCTGTTTTCCTATTTCTCTTTCTTAGTCACCGCTCACTACTTGTATTCCCCCTTCATCAGCCAATGTTGGTTCTCCTAAGTTTAGCAGAGATTTTGCATGAGCAAAACAACAGTATTTGACCCCAGGCATGAAATTAAATTAGCAGTGTTGAATAACTGCTCTCAGATGAGCCACCTTCTACTTCCAGTAGGACTCTGCATCCAAACCCTGGCATAAGCCTACTGCCTGACAAGTACATTATCTCAGTACAGCTTAGCTGCTGCTCATGTGATGCTGCTCATGTGACGGGCAGCGTCATTCTCTTTTGGACACTCGGGTGGACACCCTGTTATATTCCCAACCTACACCAGCTGTTTCCTCCTTCCATGGTGTTACTCTTCCATGGAACCAAAGGACAGTCACTTCTCCGCACCCAGCAGAGAAGACAAATGCTGCTCTACCTGTGGGCTGCAAAGGAGGGAGGGAGAGAAGCTTTGTGCCTTCCCTGCTTCTCCCTCACCCCAACTTTGTGCTCCGGACAGATGCAAGGTGACCCTAAGCAGTTACATGTGTGGACTTAAAGATTACAAGACAGAAAATGGATGGTCCCTTTTTTTTCTCCTCCTATATACGGAACTCCCATTGGCTTTCCTGGGTGCTCCCTCTATAGACTGACAAGCAACAGGTCAGAGGAGATGGAAGGGCTTTTTACCTGCCAACCCCAGAGTTCAGGATGTGTTGTTTCTCCTGCAGCAGTTGATGACACCCTAACACCTTAGCAGCACTGGAGCTGCATTCCTACGCTGTAACAGGGGAAGCAGGACCAAGGGCCTGAACTAAGGTCTTGGCGGGTAAGTGAAGGAGCAACCAGTATCAAACAGCTTTGTTTGAAAGTGTACGTCTTTGTAATGTTTAAGTCTTAATATGTGCTCTGCTTTACCTGGGAGCTTAAACTTCCACTTTTCAGAAGAGTATTTGAGATCACCTATTAACTTTGCCAAACACTTGAAAAAGTGTTGATGAAACTCATAAATACAGAGGGGCTAGAGAGAAAGGCTATTGGTGATAGAAATGTCTCAAAGCTGGGATTTCTTCTTAGAGCTGAGCAGAAGTTATTCAGATTAGTGGGGAGGGAGAAGCTTTATGCTACTGACATATTTTTGTATATCACCACTTAAGATGACTGAGAGCATCATTGTATAGTGAATACTCAATATTCAAAATATGAGCTCTGTTGGGATTGGGAGGGGGCATTTTCTACTTGGTTGCTTGTTTTCTCTCAATTGGACATACAGGGAACACCTTATGGAGGGAAATCTCCATCTCCTTACTATGTTCCACTTCTTAAGCTTAATTATTGGAACTAGGTTTCCTATATGAAAATTTATGTCATTCAAAATGTGCTTTATTTCAGTAGTCATCGGGAATTTGTGTTTTCAGTGGCAATACTATGTTCCAGAACATTCATAGAGAGCACACACAGAGGAAGTCGCTACCACTAAAGGAAAACCAATTTAAAATATATTAACAGAAATATACATGATGCTAGTTACCAGCTCAAAAGAGGAAAAAAAAAAATTAAAATCATCCTTACATAAAGGAAGTCTTTCTTTTCCTTGCTTCTGGTAATATGAGGGTAATGGATGCCTTTCTGTTGAGAGGCCAGTAAGTTTTACTTTTCGGAATGAAAAAAAAGTTTGGGTCAGAGAAGGAAATCATAAGGAGCTGCCACACACTAAGTTCTGTACCTGAGCCATCTCCTGCCACCATATCCTGGCGAGAAAAAAGGGAACATTCATAAAGAATGAACAACCATCCAGAACTGATGGGGCACCAATGCCCATCAATGTCCAATTCAGATATTATTATCCCCCTACCCTTATTGTTGCTAATATTCTTAATTTACTAAGTGAAATCACTCCAAAAGTGACCTGTAAGTTTATGTCCATCTTTCGGTGGATTAACTGTGAGCTTGTAAAAAATTACACATGCTAATAGCAACTGTTAATTAACATTCATCAGAATTAAGGGAAAAAGTCATCATCAAAAATTTCTCTCCAAACTAGGAGTGTAAATTTTAGGGGCAAGAGTGAAAAATGACACTTTACATAGGCTTATATCTTTTAAAGTTTGCATTACTATAGTCATTGTTTTAAATTAACTTTCTCTAGACAAAATAAAGTGTTGTACTACATTGCAGCCTCACTGTTAGGAATGAAGATAGAGGAGACAATTCAGGAAGGCCAACACATACGACCAAAATGGAGAGTATCCAAGTCATAGAAGAATGGTAAGTTGGTTAAACTGTTGTCCAGTAAATGTTTTTAATTTGCCTATAACTAATATCAAGATTTGCCTTGGGTTTTATGCTTTGGGAATGTCCTTTTAATTACTTTTCCTCCAAAAAATTCTATGCAAAAGGAAGCAAAATCTGTCCTGACAATGAAATGCCAACAGAGACATTCATAGGTGCAGTTTACTTACGGTTTCTTATTTGTGGAGGAAGGATGGTGGGGAGGAATGAGAGGTACATGCATGGTTCCATAGATCTATGTTCTCTATAAGGAGCCTCTGCTACCTGAGGGATCATTTTCTTCTCTTTGCCCAGACAAGAAGAAAAACTAACAGGCAAAATTGTACTTCACAGTCAGATCTTTAATGTGGCTACCTTTCGTAAAACAGCTTGGATTATGGTTTCACCTGAATTAACCAAGGAAACACATACCTTGAAAAAAGGCTAACACACACTGAAAGTCTGAGCTTCTATTTCTGTCTAAAGCTTGGGCACATATTTATTGTGCTGAGGAAAATGCTAAGCTATCAGTGGCCTTGAGTTCTTTAATTCCATGAAAAGTAACTTAACTCTAGAGGACATGATTGATGGTAAAAGCAACCCAAACAACTCATTATCTTCATTGCTACTCATGGTAATTTATGAGGGGACAATGTTGGAAATTTCTACAAAATCCTGTAGTGAAGAGAGCTTCCCAACAGACAACAAGGGAGCACAGGTTGCTTTGTCAGGTCCATCCACCTCAGCAGGTTCTTCTCACTCTGCTCAGAGAGAGGACTTTTCACCTTCAAATATGTACGTTTATACTTTTTGGTTCAGATTACAATTATTTTGCTGGATAGCTTAAATCTTAAACACTTTCTCATTTATTAAATATTTTGGACTGCCAGAAAGCTATCAGAGATAGCTTTCCGTCATCCAGTCTGCCTTGCATGCAGAGTAGGAGTTGATAAATGGACTTGAAGAGAAATCATACGGACAAATGTCACTTATTGTGCCACGATTACACAGGAGCTACTAACAACAGCTAGTAAACCTCTTGTGTTGGATCCTATCAGGAAGGGGAGAGTGAGCGTTCAGAATTAAGTTTGAAACCGTATTTAATTGCTAAGTAGCTTGGAGTATTACCTTCTCAAGTTAGTTTTCTGATCACTTATCCAGTGCATCCCCTGTTACAAGCCATGAATAGTTTCCTTGAGGAAATGGGAATAAGGACTTTTTCCCATTCCTTCTCTGTCCAGTTTTGCCAACAACATCCATCACATCTTGTGGCAATAGATCATCATTCAGGTCAATAGCACGGAACAGAGGGAAGCTTGGCAACCCTTAGGTACAAGCACAGAGAAATATGCTAATTTAAAAGCTCTCTGAATTACTATTTAGTTGGGCCTCATTAGTATGCTCTTGGCTGCCAAGAGCCTTTTGTTTTTCTTGTCCTTCGTGAACCAAATCATGTGGCAGCCAGTGATTGGCCAAACACCATCAGAAGCAGGCAGGGACATCAGGTGTCATCTAAACCCCTCAGGAAAGAGAGTTTACTGCCAGCTCCCTGAAATCACATCTCCTTTAACTGCAGAGGCAGGAATTCACCGCTGTTCTGGGATTGTGTCTTTGAGTCTGATGGGTAACAACACTAGCAGAAAACTTGTAGAAAGCCAAGTGAATGTCTTGTAACATTAAACACGTTTAGTGGGCTATTGAGATAATGAATGCACAAGTGAAGAGTGAACAAAATCCCCCGTCACGGCTGAAGCCTTGCTGCTTCCAGTTTTCACTCTGGACTAAAGTGCAGTTGAAAGGAGAATTTTTGGACAAATGTATGAAAACACTGTTACAAAAATAGAAGCGTATTTGTAATGATACTTTGTTTTTGCAGCCAAAACCCTACTGCAGATGAAATTTTGTCTTGGGCTCAAAATTTTGACAAGATGATGAAAACACCAGCTGGGAGGAACCTTTTCAGAGAGTTTCTTCGAACAGAGTATAGCGAGGAGAACCTGCTTTTCTGGCTTGCATGTGAAGATCTAAAGAAGGAACAGAACAAGAAAGTTATCGAAGAAAAAGCAAGACTTATATATGAAGATTACATTTCTATACTATCACCAAAAGAGGTAAAGCCGTAAATGTTACATTTGTGTTTTCAGTCATTCCAGAGCAGAAATGTTATACCCTGGATTGCCAGATGGGGGTCTGAAAGTCTGCCAGATCTGTCAGATGAAGTCCTAGTATGGACGTTTAATCAGGAAAGAAAGGGACGGAAATGATAGAGACACAGGTGCTGAGCCACTTAGCATCACTGCCCACACCACCTCAAAGCTCTTTATGAAAAGGGAATAGAAGAGAAACTCCAGAAGCAGAAGAGTGGGAAATGATTATGCTTCTTTAGTAATGCCACATGCCTGCCAGAGAGAGGAAGTAAGTAATGCAAATGGACTTCTGGAGAAAAGGCACCAAAATTAAGGAATTTAAATCAGAATCATTATAGATTTATCTGCTGCAACAGCTGGCTGGGAGAAAAATCCAAATTTGCACTGGTTATTCCTATGTGAGATCAACTAGTCCAGGAATAGAGATCACATATTTTCTCTAATGAAAGGTATGATAATATCTAGGAAATGATATAAAATTTTCTTCAATCTTCCAACTGAAATAGAAAAAGTCTGCAATTATCTTCACCTGGAGTAAAGAAAAAGCATCCCTTATCAAACCATGCTTTGGAATAGAAAGATCTATAAAGGTATAACACTGTAGAAGAGTCTTTCTTAGACCACATCACCTACCTTTAGCTCCTTTGCCTTGTCTCTGTGCATTGCATCTGACTTTCTACTCAAGGGCTTTATGCTAATTTATGCTCACTGTGGACCCTGCTTGCTACAGTTTACTTCTGCACTGCTTTCAGTAATAATTTGCAACTTCATTCATATGAATGAAGCCAGCAGCAATTTATAGTTTCATTACCTTCTCTTCTGCCATAGTGTACGCTTTTGCTCTGGAGTGAGATTATTAGCTTGCCAGTACAGCAAGCTAATAATGTCTTATTTCTTATAGTACATATGTATCTCTAGTACACATGTATGTACTGATTGCTCCATTGTCTTTCAAAGCCAATATGCACCAGCAGTTAAAATTCAAACATTAATTAAGTGTTGTTGGACACAGGGTTTAACAAAACGGCTCGCAAACTTGATGCACTGGACATGTGCAGATGTCATCGACCCAGTTGCTCCTGCCCCTCCTGGAAACCTTGAGGCAAACAAGGACTGTCTGCAATGCTTTAGCACAGGAGCTGCAAAGTTCTTGTTCATCCCAGCATCCCATTCCAGATGTTACCTTTGGCATAGGAGCTGAAATATTTAGCATCACTTGTTCAGTGATGAAGTTATTGAGGCAGAAGGCTGTTGTGCTCTAAACAAATACCTTGAATACATCTGTTTAACAAGGAAATACCTTTACTACTTCCAACTAGTTTTGCCATCTGGTTTTGGTGAATCACAGAAAAACTACAATGTGAATTAATAGAGTCACAATTTTTTTTTTCATTCCATAACTGCCATTAACTTTTACTATATTCAGTGGCCGAACTGCCCCCCCCATCCTACCAAATTTGAGCTTTTTATCTCAGCCATTTTATTTGATAATGAAGAATCAATTAGCTAGCAGCATAAAGTGGTTTTGCTAAGATACATGCCTTTGCGTATGCATGTGCATGTGCGTCAGGGGGAGAATTGCCTAAATCATTAGTGTGTCATTTCTGTGCTACAGAAATGCAATGGTCTAAGATTGGAATCTATTCAAACAAATTCCAAAGACACATGGCTGCAACACTGCTTCTCAAAACTCTCATAACACTGCACGCTGTGCAGTGTCTAAAAGCAGGTAGTCACTGGCCGAGCAGCCCCAGCGGTCTGTTCATCCTGCTGTGCAGTCCAATCTGCGTGCACAGCTACGGTAGATGGTGAATTCAATCAGGAAAACGCCTGGGTTGAAAAACAGCCCAGAAAAGAAATGGCACTTTCAGATGGATCGATTCCTTAACTCAGGTAGCTGGGGGGCTGCCCAGACAGCCCTGCCAGCACAAGGCAGGGGGAAGCGCCAGGGTGGGAAAGCGGGGAGGCTGTTGATGGCGGCTGGAGCAGCACCGCTGCCCATCCGGGTGCTGCGTAGCCATGAGCACTCAGATGGAGAGCGCTTTCTGCAGGCGTAAGGGGTGTTCTGCAGAGATACCTTACTTGAGTAATAGGTACGGTTTGCTAGCATGAACAGGCAACAGTTTGCCCACAGTTAGGCTGCATCACAGTTCTGCCTTGTGACTGATAACCAAGTAACAGCAAATCTTGGAGGAGAAAGAGCTTGCCTGCTGTGGCAGTAACTTACTCCAGTGTGCCAGTAAACCACATTTCTGTAGTTGGTACTGAAGATGTAATGAAAATATATATTTACTCCTCACTACCATACCATATCCTACCATGCCATACCACTGTATTTCAAAGACACCGTTGCACCACATATACAAATACACAAGCTCACACATCCACACATGTTCTGAGTTTTCATGTCAGTTAGCATCCTTCGCGCACCAAGCTATCTCTGTACGTGGAGCTTTCCAGGGTTGAACTCAATCCTTCAGACAATATGAATATCTGTTTATATGGTTGCAGAGTTGTGGGGTCAGACTGCAACCTGGTGTACATCACAGCAGCTTAACTGATCTGTACTCGGTATTTCTCTATTCAATGTTTTAGCCTTTTTCTTCTTTGCTGAGTAAACCCTTGCCGGCCCCAGTGGGCTTCCCTGCTGCTGCCATTTTGTTTAATCCAGAAGGCATTAATTTTACTCTTTTCAGAGCATTTTGTGGATAAGCTGTACATTCACTCAAACTTCTAAATGATATTCTAAAATCATCTGTGCATTCATCCCAAGCATAATATGCCCTTTTCTGCCTAGGCGCAGGAGTTCATTACAAATGGAAAGTAAATGAGAAGCTAAAATTGAAACTCGCTAACAACCTCAATATGGACATATGATATCCTGAAAATCACGAGCTGTTAAAGGGTCTTGAAAAGAAGAACAAATCTGAAATAGTTAATATTAACAGGGAGATTAACATGATAAAAATGACAAAAAACTCTAGGTATTTTGCCAGTAGCAAGTGTAGTTTCTGAAAAAAGTTGGGAAAAAATCTGTAGGGCAGCTAGATGAGAATGCTGAAGAGAAAGCTTCTAAAGATTTAACTACAAATGGTCAGAAAAAAACCACAAACATTTCAGCTCTCTGAACGAGAGTAATTTAACATTGATTTGAAAGAAATAATTTTAAATAAGTGAAAACTATTTTTTAAGGTAAAACAACATATTTTGGGAAATCCAGGTTACTGCAGAGCTTTATTTAGTTGCATTGTATTTATGCTGTTATACAGCTGCACTTAATCTTACAGATCATAAGATGGATGCCAAGACACAAAACTGAAATAGAGTTGATGGTCTCAATCTGTAATTGTGTGGTGGCTCTGAAAGAAGCACAGAGCATGCCTTGAACACACTGATAAACTCGGCATGTTCTGTGGAGCCCCGGAAAATAAAGATACACATAACAGCCTTTCCGATATTACTGTTTAATATTAGTCTGTTCTCATCTTCTTCAGGTTAGTCTTGATTCCCGGGTGAGAGAAGTGATCAACAGAAACTTGTTGGATCCCAGCCCTCACATGTATGAAGATGCCCAACTCCAGATATATACCCTAATGCACAGAGACTCTTTTCCAAGGTTTTTGAACTCTCAGATTTATAAGTCTCTCGTTGAAAGTATTACAGGCTCTACTTCTGAAACTTAGTTTTCATTTTCAAACAAAATACCTTGATTTTTTTTTTCGGTGGGTGGGATGGAAGAAAAGTAGTTTAATAACATCTGGAGCTGGGTTCCTGGAGAACTACAGTTTAGCACTACTCAGGCTACTGTGAAGAAAACAAATACATATTATGGTCTCTGTCTACATTTTTACCAAGATCCTCCTTGCTCGAGATGGCGTGGGAGGGGAACAATGGATTTGCCGAAATACATTTGTTTCACACTCCTTTCACCCTACTGCAGTCAAGATTGCAATGATGTATTTGTAGTTTTATGAACAGTCTCCTTGTGTATCCTCACACTGCATGTGCAAGGTAAAACTGCTTCACTTACCACTTAGTTGTTGCAATATTTAATCCAATAACATAAATTATATCTGTATTTAAAAACTTTTTTTGTGCAATACAGTCTTATGGTACATAGAAACAATTGCAGCAAACCAGAAAGAGGCTTGCATTTTTTAACATCACTAACTGAAAAAAGCCAATTTTTAAGGTGTAGCATTACTCAACATGCTCTACTGAGTACAATACACTGACTTTTTGAAGCCAATATTTCTGTACAGAAAAAAAGAGCTATTTATCACTGTTTATTTAAAATAAATCAAGCGGAGGATTTCTCTGGTTGTTCACTGCCAAAACTGTGGCATTTTCATTACAGAGTTTGCAATGTCAAAAAAAAAAAAAAAAAAAGAGAAGAAGAAAAAAAAGCACAAACCACTTAAAGGGATCCGTATCTGGGTGACACAATCTATGCGCTGATATTGTTTAATTGTTAAAATAACAAAGATTTTCAATGTACATTTCAGATGTCAGATACTGTAACTGATTTATTAAAGACTGGCTCTCCAGTTCTAACACTGTTGTATAATGTTATGTACTTCAGCAAAAAAAAAAAAAAACAAAAAACCCAAAAAAACCAAAAAACCCCACAAAACAAAAAAAAACCACAAAAAGCTTGATAATTTAGTTTTTTGAATAAAGAAATTTAATAAAAGATTGCCTACATGTAGCATTTTAGAGCATTTTAGAACATTTTGATGAATCGCATCTGTCCTGTAAGATTTTTTTTTTTTGGAAAGCTAAATCCAGTAAAAAATGTTTTTAAACAAAGTAATGTATTATGAGGTGGCAGGTTAAAGAAGACTTATCTTAGCTTCTAGCCTCATTGATTTTGAGTAACTCCTTGAAAACGAGGGGTTTGGAAAGTAATATTAAACCGAACTTCAAGGGCTCCTAAACCTACAGTCCTTACCCAAGCAAAATGCCTACGGAAACGCACCGGGTGTCTTTCCTGGGTAAAGAATCCTGTACTGAGCCCTTCATCAGAGCTAAGGCAGCACGGTACTCCCATCACTTGGCTGCCGTGGTGTTTTTAATAGGTGTTTGCTTGGCCTTTTTATCAAAAAAAATGTCCAATTTTAGGATGCATTTTGATGTTTAAAGAGACAGTGACTCGGAACTTTAAAAAACCCATCTTCATACCGACCATATACGAGCAAAGTGAGTGTTAGCATCCCTCACAAACTGCGAAAGATGTACCAAGAAACAGCTTTGAATACTTGTTAAATATATATATGTATTTATGTGTATATATATATATTTAATACTGACAACTCTGGTCTTATACTAAGACTTAAGAGGCAAGGTTCTTCTCACTTAAGGTAGGACGAAACACGGCAT